ATATATGTGTGAAATTGCCACATATACATGATGACATTATCATCCCAAAGTGTACTCTGGGTGTTGTGGGACTGTATCAGGCCATAATATGTTTACACTCTACCTTCTGTGTTCTGATGGGACTCCTTAAGCTGCTTAAGCAAATGGCTGTTTCTGACAGCTGACCCATCTCTTCCTTCTTCCTCTTACATCCCATCTGCTCTGTTGTGCACAGATAAATTTATTTCCAGGACTCAAATTTTGTTATCAAAATGCCAGCTGCACATTTTTAGGCTGAGTATTTGTCAGATTAACTTAAACACTGGTGTTCTAGTGTTTTTACTTTAGCTACATGCTTCTCATGCCATGGTTATTTCTTGTTTTGAAACAGAGCATCCTGATAAGTCTGATGTACAGCACTGTCATGGCTCTGTGCTAGTGTTGGGAAACATATTTGCTTGCCTGCCATCAGGGAGATAGTGTGACACTGGTTTATAAACAAGTGTCTTCCTCCTAAACTACTCATTTCCAGAAGGAAAAAGACACTAGCAGTGAAATGCACTGTATTTGTTTGTTCCTATGTTGGATAACTTTGTCTAAGGTGGCAAGCTTTCATCAAAAATTGAAGAAACGAAAAATTCTTTATACAATTGAAGAAGGATGATGGCAAGTTCTAGATTTGACACCTCAAATATTTTTCTTGTTTAATTTAAAACTGGATTTTAAACCACTGAATTTAGTTGTACCGTCATGACATACCCTGAGGATCAAAGCAATGTGTTTGCGAAGGTTGTGTTTTGATAGAACTCGAGGGAATGTGAGCTGAAAGATTTAATGGGGCTGTGGGTGCTGGAGAAATCTTCATTGGTGTAGATTTAAAAGAAGCAAGATTTGATCACTTTTTTAATTTATGGGAAGCTTTTTGGTTAGGTAGGAAATGGAGAAGTGGAATCTAAAATTAATGATAGATAGCTCCGTAAGTACTTTATTTTAACAGACTCCAAAATTAATTTACTGTTGAAAATTATGGAATATTTCTTCCTCTTAGCCTGTATTTATTTCCTGTGTCCTGTCCAAGCAGTCTCTAATTCACAATATGGCAAATCTAACTGGTCTCTCTGTTCTCTTCCAAATATGGAATCCAAAATGTGTTTTCCTTGCTGAAGCACAATACTCAGTGATACCATCCGTGACTAATCTTTAATTTATGAACTCTTCAGTGTGGTTGCTTGAGTTAGGGACCAGGGGATCAAGGCCAGCTAATATGTGACTCTAACATTTCATGACAAATCCAGTGTTTTGCTTAGGAAAATGTCCTTAATGAAAAATCAAAGGAAATCAGATAGAATAGTTCCACCATTTTCAGTGATCTAACAGAAGGGATAATCAAGAAGAAATATTTTAAATTAGTAAATTCTTAGAATCTATTTTAAATTAATTTGCATTTTAAATTATAGCCTTTTAAAAAATTAAAATACAGGAGTTTAAGTATTCTAATTTTTTTGTAGTTTTTCTTATGGGTGTTGAGTAAAGAGAAAGGAAGGAAGTGCACAAGACATGATAGAGTGCATGTGGGGGTGAGAAGTGTCAGGCAGGAAATGCCATCTTCCTGCTGCGTGTCAGCACACACTGCTGTGCAGCCTTCAGCGTCAGCATCTTCCTTGGCCACGAGGAGAGCCAGTTAAATCAAATTATTCGCTCAGTTATCAAAACTTTCCCCATCTGTAGTGTTGGCCAAGTCTTTCTGAAACAGCATCACAGTTTGGGCAGTTATTAAGTTATGAACTTAATAAATATGAATTTAATTGGGAGAGAAAAGTGTAGTTCAAGAAGCTTATCAATGACCAGGGAAGATGTAAAATGCATAGATCAGTACACGAGTCTTTGCTTGAGGACTGAAATTCCAAGCTATCAGGTCAAAGCTTCCAGCTGTAAGTCAATTTAGCTAAAGCAGGACTTAGCTCTGCAGAGCTGAAGGCCTTTTTCTATGGGCTTTGATAATGTTTCCTAGCACAAATTTCCAAACAGAAATGTACAGTTTGCACTGCATTAATTTACACTTGTACTAATTTCTACTGAGTTAATTCTGCAAATACTCTAGAAGTAAAGCAGGGACAAAAGAATTCCAGAAGTGACTGAAGTTTCTGAGAAAAGATGTATAAAGACAAATTAATTCTCAAAGAATTGAAATTATCTGCTTTAGGACGATATCTGCTAGATTGATAGGCTGTGATTTCACACTTAAAATACTCCAACAGAGTGAATGAGGGCAACTAAACTTTGGCAGAACTGTGCAAAGTTTGTACTACTTCTCCAGATCCTACTATTCAGTTCAGTGTGGTCTTGTCTGATCCACGGCCTTAGTCTAATCTGAACCTTAATTTATAGTCTGCAGAATTTATCATCTCCTATTTTGTCATCTTTATTAGGTTACACACTCCACCCTTGGACAAATTGCTCACCAAATGAAGCAAATGTCCCAGGAAGAAACATCACAATTACAGCTTCAACCTATACCTTTTCTGTGGTTTTATGGACAGGACAAGAGGATAAATATTCTATATCATATATGCTTAGGGTGTTTTTTAAAATTACACATACAGTCATTAATTACTAATAACTTTTAGCACAGTAAAAGGAGGGGATCAGACATAAAAATCATCCATTAACAAAACAAGTCTGATATTCACTGAAGGCAAATAGGATTCCTGACCTTACACTACAAATATACTCAAATTACTGGGCTCATAAAGAAAACAAGACAGAAATACACATCCATAGCATCTTCTAATCCCTTTGTTGTCATGCTAACAGCCATATCTTTAAAATCTAATTAGAAGATTATTCTAGTGTTACAGAGAAAGTCTGCAGTGCTGTTTCTAACTATTTCTTGTAAATGTTTTATATGGAGAACAAATAAACTGATGAGAAATAATGTATTTAATTAGACTAAATGCTTCAATGAAAAGATACAGACATGTTTTCAAATATCATGTTCCTATTTGCAAATAACGACATACTTTATAGACATTGATTAAACTTCATGTCACTGGCTGAAATAAAAGAAACCCAAGCATTTTTTCACCCACAGTGTTCATATTTATGAGGCAGGTTTAAATGGCCAAGGGACAATTCAATGTATACTGGACAATTACACAGCAAATAAACTTTATTGACAATATCTTTTTAATCTGGCTTCTTTGAAGAGGATTGTTGCTGTCAGCTGGCTTGGGTATTTTTAATTGCTGCATTTTTCACAGCTGTCACTGGAAACTTTTATCAAACAATTGATGGTGTCTTCTGATTACTGTCAGTTCATCCATTTCCCACACAATAGATTCTTCACAGGATTCAATAGTCTAAGGGAAACTTCACCATGACTTTCAAGACAGTCTAAACAATCCACATATGAGGCAGGGCTCTTCCAACTAAGAACTAGATTTGGTCTTATCATTCAGACATCCAATATTCTCACTTCTTTTATTACTGCAAGATTTGTTATGTTATGTATCTTCATAGGGAAAATAATTACATTTTCATAATGCGGTAAGGTTGCTTAATGGTTTGAATGCTAAGATTCATAGTCTTAGCACATTTGGCTTTCAATTGGCAATAGTCAATGGCAAAAAGTCTCACAGGACACCAGAAGGGACATCCTGTTTATTCCAGCCTGGATTAGGTAATTAGGATCAACAATGCAAAAGTGGCATGAGGGCAAACAAATAATGTGGGTAAGGAACTGGTGGGACTGTACAAAGGAATATCATATGAAATACAAAACAGCAAAATTCTGAGACCTTGGGAAGTCTATTTCAACTAAAAATCCGAGGCCTCTTTGCAAACTATGACTTCTGTGGCAGAGAAAAATATGACACATTATAGTGGGATACAAAGTTTATTTTGTGTTAGTGCTGCTGAATATCAGTGGAAGCTTGTCTCTCCACCCCTGACTCTCATGCTTCTTAAAAGACTGTACCTTGTACCTGAGAACTTGAGCCTGTCCTGCAGGTGCTGCTGCTGCACTCCCACCTGCCCAGTGGTGATGCATGGGGGTGACACAAGTGCATGGGGGTGACACACTTCAGGGAACTGACGCAGCAGAAGGGGATTACGTGCCCTTTTAGCATCCTGCTTGCCTAGTTTGAGGTGAGATGAGGTGGAGAGGGAGAGAGTATGGGACCATAGCTGCTGCAGCTTAGCTCAAACTGCTCTGGGACCACCTCAGCCTGGGGAGGAGTGGACCAAGTGTCAACCACTTATTTACCTCATTCAAATCTTAATGCCTTCCAACATATTTAATATCATATCCTCTGTGCTGCACATACCAGATAGACTGATTTCTCTATAAATTTTTGATGTCTGTGATGATGTATCCAATGTGTTTTGGATTTTAGAAACATTTTATAAACAAGGATTATCTGCCCCTTGACTTGCAAGTGTAAAGGACATACTGTCTCTGCACTTCAAACCTAGGCTAGTGCATTTATTATATCAATGGCTGCAAATGAAACAGGAAAATAAGTATTGATTAAAAGATGTTAATATAGTGTGGCTCTTTTAATAAACCTCATAATCAAGATAAGCTTGTAATGCAAGTGTGGTTTTGTATTTGGCTTGAATAATCTAAAAATTATATCAGTGCTGAAGGGAACAGTTCTCTACCTCCTGTCCCTGACAAGATTCTCATCCCCCTCATTGCACTAGGTAGAGCTTGTGCAGGGTGGTGTAATCAGACAAATCAATATGAATTTGGCTGATAATGTATCATTTTTTTATTATTTATTTTTGCTGAATTAGTGAACTGATTGAATTCATACATATAGCCTCATAATTGCCAAAACATTATAAACGAGACTGTGGTAGGAAAGATCTGCTGGTTTTGGTGGCTGCAAATTCAGCTGTGATGATTTGCTAGATACCTCACTGGAAGAGAGAGCTAACAGTAAGTGTAAGAACTTAGGATAGTCCTTTATTCTGTAAGTTTTGTGAACAAACAAACAGGAGCACTGAAAATATGGAAAATGTTCTTGTTTACAGATCACACCATCCAGTCTGTTTTCTGCTGCTGCTGCTGCTCAGTGCAAGAAAGGTATGTGAAATGCTTAAGCTTTTCAGTAATTAAATATCTACACATACAGGACTTCTTAAAATCCCTTCATTTACAATAGAAGAGCAAATATGTGGAAGTTTAAAGACACTGTACTCTGCATATCCCTAAAGAAGGAAGGCACGGATAGCCATGGATACTTTTATGTGGATGTTTACAGATACACACATTCACACAAATGCTTCATATTTTTCAAATCAGAGAAATGAGAACAAAAGTGAACCTGGACCCTGACGCTGTCCTGGCAACCCAGTACTCTGCCTCACAACCAGACGTTTCCTATGAATCTATTTGGAAGTGTGAGGTAAGTAACATTTTGGCAGGTGAAAAGAGAGAATTGAGGTGATTTGACATACAGTTGCTCAGTACCAGAATAAGCAGGGGACTAACTAACTCTTGAGCATATAAAATTCTTCGTTGCATAAAAATTACAGAGTAATGATAACTAAGCAATCTGTAGTAGAAAGAAAAGACCAGTTATGAAAATTACTTTGATTTCTCAGCAGCGCAGGAGACAATTGCAGTTTAAGGACAAGCCATTGCCTCCTCTGCCTCCTGAGGCCTTCGAAGACTGCACAAACAAACCCAGAGTTATTGCGCTCTGTGACTTCTTTGCTAGAGGGCCTTTAGATTTACCTCTCAAGAAATCAGAAGAATACATTATCCTTGAAAAGTATGATCCGCTCTGGTGGAGGGCAAGAGACCGACATGGGTAAGAGAGAAGGCATCTATTTCAATTTCCCTACACAAAAAGAAAAAGGCCTAAAGCAACCTGTGCAAAAGTGGGCAGGTAGAATGAGACTTATGAGACTATTTAGAAATAGGCTTGAAAGTGTTCAACTATATATGAGGCACACAGATTGACTGAGCAGATTTTCGGCAGGGTTTGACGCCCCAGAAATGGACTGGGAATCAAGGATTTGTTGGGAATTCAGAGTTAAGCCCTACATTCAGTAAGTTCCTGAGTAACAGAAAGGTGTTTGAAGACCATGTGAATCACTGGGCTCTGAGCCATGTGCAAATCCAGCTTTCCATATTTTCAAGTGCTTTACAATGGAGCATGTACATGTAAAAACTTTATGAAACCGTAGAGATTATGAAGACATACCTGAAACATAACCTCTTACCCAAAATACCCAAACATAACCTTATGCCAAAATTTTAGAGACGTAGATAACTTCAATTAGGATCCTTTTCACACTTTAATTTTTGTTTTGTGTTGCTCCCCTTTCTCCTTTGCATTTTCTTCAGTGTATCCTGTATTCTGATGTTGGGAATAATTGTATGTTATATTTTAATAATCTCTTTTCCCTTCAGATTTCTCCTTTAAATATTTTAAATGCTTTTTCTCAACTCATGTTTTTAGCAGAAGTATACTGACAATTATTTTGTATATACAATCAAGCACATACTTTGTATTTCTTGATATAGGAGGTTTGTATAGGCTAGAAATAAGGATGGTGGCTTCTGGTTCAGAAGAAAAATACTTTTTTTTCTAGATCTTAGCCTATACCATCTGCCTTTCTCATTTGAGTAGCCATCCACAGTCATGGGACAAAAAGGTTGTGCCTGGGATGAAAGGACTCAAATTTTTGTTCAGTTCTAATGCTGGAATTCAGTATCTAGCAACATAGCCCCTGGTATAAGGAACCTTTTTTATTTCACCAAAGGGTTATTGATTTTTTTATTCTTCTTATTTTTTAAACCATACTATAATATTATCTCTAATATGTTGTTCAGGAATGAAGGTCTAATTCCCAGAAACTATGTTACTGAGAACAAGAAAAGCAATTTAGAAACATACAAGTAAGTACCTTTGAAAATTGTAATTGTGCTTTAATTTTTGAAAAAGGATTGCAGAGATACATTTTAATGTTTGATCCTTCAAATTTTTTTAGACATGAACAAGTTTATCAAAAGCTTTCTTTTTTTGTTGCAAATCATTACTCTTAAAATTAATTAACATTCATGTGCATGAATCATAGTGTCAGAATCCAGATTTTTCCTGTTTATGTAGACCCAATGCATAATGTTTCTGTATTCTGATCTTTGCTTGTTATCATGTAGCTATTTCCAATTACTATAAATTTAAATTACTGGAGAGAAGATTAAAATTCAGAAAAATTGCAGAGAAGAGAGGATTTTATCACAGTTTGGCATAACTTTTTTTTTTTTCCTGGGATTTCTTTTATTTGAGGTAATATTTAGTCACAGTAAATTGGGGCCAAAAAGTTCTAAAAAAAAAAAGGTCTAATAAAATCATTCCAAATTAAGACATGTTCATATACAATGATATTTCTAAACATGTTTTTGACTTGGAATAATGCAACTGCTAAACTGTGAAACAAAGCAAACATTCATTTTTACTGGCTTTATCTCCTTGTTGCAGGTGGTACTGCAGAAACATAAACAGAAGCCAGGCAGAACTTCTTTTGCGCCAGAAGGTAACTCAGCTTACAGACTGAGCTAACAGTACTGAGAAATATCTATCACTAGAGGCATCAAGAGAGTTATCACAGTCAAATCAAAATCTGTTTGGTATTCTGTAAGAGAGAAAGTACATTTTAAGATTTCTACCTTAAAATGAAAAGGCTTTCTGGTGTAAGTGTAAAGTGCAGACAATCCAGGCTTCACAAAGCTTTAAGTTCAAATTCTATGTATATTTTCCATGCCAGATAAATAAAATTACATAGCTTACTGTGCTTGTCTGTTACATTAGACATTGAAAACTGAAATCCATGTAAGCTAATTAGCTCTGAGTTTAGCAGAACTTAACAAATCACTGCAGTCTTCCTTAAATATAGAGCAAACAATCCACATTGAATTCTACCCTGTCAGTTACCAAAGTGCCTAACTCAGTCAAACTCATTGGGTCTTTGCTCGGGCCCAGGACAAGAAAGACCAAGGAAGAACATGTCAAACAGAATTGTTTTAACTGGAAGTTTTTTTTCTCATTATATGTACAATTTGATTTTTTAGTAAATTAAAGCATATTCACTACTTCACACTGAAGAGTATAATTCAGCTAAATTACTTCTTTCTAAAAAGTTACCTAGCACTTATTATTTTCTCTTGGTTTATTTAGCTCTTCCCTGTACCTGACTATCCATTCCTGTTCTCCACTTCTTTATTTTCCTCCCAAATAGTCATAGGTATTTTCCAGAATTTGGTAATCAGCTGCAAGTCCTGTCTCAAGGGAGCATTACTGGAGCTCAAAAGCATAAATAATTCTACTTTGATTTCTTTTCAGCCCAAAGAAGGTGCATTTGTTGTCAGAGATTCAAGCCGACAGGGTCTTCTTACACTGTCCATGTATTCACGGGCTAAGGGGTGAGTTCCTCTGAATGGTTAGGGTCTGAATCAAGTGGTGGTGGAAAAGCTTCCTCCAGGCCCCTCAGAATAATTGGGTAGGTTGGACATGCAGTGCCCAAGAGCAGGGAACACTGGGATGCTGTTTGTGCAGAGTTAATCACCCTGTGTGCAGAAAAGATCATGGTGGGCAGTGGATCTGGGAGTGTGCAAATGTCCTGGCCAGACAAGATTACCTGCAGTCACTGAAATTCTCCAATGATCTGCTGTGGAAATGGTGCCACAGCCTTTGGCCACTGCACCCAACTGTTTCCTTTCTCCACAGCCTCTGTGCACTGTAAATCCATCCCAGACTTTGCTGTCCTCAAAATTCACTTGTTTGTCTCCTGAAATCACCTTACCCCTACTGTGCAGTCTTATTCTTGCCAGACAACAGCCACAGGACTCACACTTGCCTGTATCAGTAGCAATCACCTACAGCACTGACTTAACCTATTTCAAGCTGTCTTATACCCTCTTCATTAGCCCTCCTACATCCCCCTGTATCAACTGTGTCTGCTTTTCTTCTATCCCTCTTACAGCAAGCTAGAGGTGAGACCAGCAAAGTCATTGCTGATACCTCTACCTTCTTCCTCCCTCCCTCCATTCCCTCCTTGGAAACCTGGGGCCAGCCCTCTCCACCATCCCTGTGCTGGGGACATGCTCACAATTTCTGTAGGCTCAGTAGTGTTTCTGACAATGACTCAAAAATGCAGACTGTATAATGTTTCTGTATTCTGATCTCTACTTGTTGCGACCAGGTGTCCACAATTTAAGAGTACTAACCTTCAGCAACCTCCAGCCTGAAATGCAAACTTAACTGCTTAATTTTGAGTGTCAACAGAAAGCAGGGACAAGCAGACAGCAAAATATACAGAAAGCAAAAAAGACAGATAATGCGAATAAATTCAGAAAAACAAAGGTGTCAAATAAAAGCTCCGATGAAGACTCTTTGAAGAAGTAGAACTGAAAATTTAATCTCATTATACACATGAGTATGTGTTTAAGTTTTTGGGAGAAAATGCCAGTAATTCATAACATTTTAATTTTAAGAGGTTATATTCAAATAAATGCTAAATGAGGGGGAGCACTTCTTAAACACCGTGGCTATTTCTTATGAATGCAACGATACAGGGGTAAAAAATATTTGGCCAACAAAAGACATTGTGCAACTATCTCCCAAAGTTGGGAGAAAGAGCCAGTCAAGGAATCTCTTTTCTCCTGAAACAGTAGCTGAGAACTGTGTCCCAAGTTTTCAGATTTTTCTGTTTCCATAGTGAAATTTAAGCAGCTTTATAAGATAAATTATTTTTATAAAATTAAAAAACTGAAAATTATAATGCTTTGTTGATTTCAGAAGTCATAATGGAGATATTCTACATTATCACATTAAACAAAATCACTTGGGACTATATTATGTAGCAGAAAATTATCTCTTTTCATCCGTTCCTGAACTCATCGAGTATCATCAACACAATGCTGCAGGTAATGCATGTGAGCTGATAATGGTTTTATATCTTTTTCTAATACTTTCCTTACAAAAAGAGACACAAGTGTTTCTATTGCTAATGAATTCAAATATGCCTTAATTCTTTCTGCCAAAGTCATAGCTGTCATGTGAATATACTGTGGGGGAAGTGAAACTACCAAAATTGTCTACATGTATTAAATGAGTTTAGCAAAGATAAAAGCCTGCTTTGTATTCTCTTGGCTCACATTTGGCTGAATGGGACTTGGGTGAAATTTGATCATAATTCTTTCATTGTCTACGACATGGACCTGCATGCATGCAATCTAATAAAAGCAGGAGCAATGCTATGCATCAGCAGGCAGCATTCTACTGATTTTGAAAAAAAAAACAACCCATACCACAAACAATCAAGGGCAGAATTAGGGAGCACAAGGACTCTCTAACACTGGTGTTCAGCTTACCAGGGTTAGACACCTCTAACTGTTGGCTGATGGCAGATTTTTATAATTTTTAGCATAAAAAATGCTCTTCACCTTGGTTCTGCCCATCATTTTAATACAATATAACATGGTTTTACTCTGAATGAGGGAAGATGGGAAAACACATAGAGATCCCTTGCACAGAGAGGAAGATATGGGAATGGACAGAGCCTTTTGCTGGAGGGAGGAGAATTGTAGGAAACTTTTAGCAGAATTGCCCTAAAAGTAATAATTTGAAGAATCAATGAACTCAGGATGTATTCACTAGCAGTGTTGGCTTATGAATGCAAAGAAAATAAATGACAGGCACAAAAATATTTCAAACCTGGAAGTCATGCTGGCAGACCCTGCTTAGGTTGTTGATACAGTATTTTAGAGTTCATTTAAATACAAAAAAGCAAGAGTATTACTGTTGGCTTTATGAAAGTAGAAGTGCTTTTGTAGTCAGGGCCCTATTAAATAGTCTTTCTCCATTTCTTCTTACTGTAGTGTTTTATCTGAGCAAACTGTAACTTCAAGAAATAAGAAATTTGCATCAGATTCCAAGTAGTTTTGTTTGAGAAGAGCTATGATATAGTGTATTTTAAAATTAAGTAATTTGTCAGCAGAATATTGTGGCTTTGTCCTTTACAGGTCTTATCACACGTCTCCGACATCCAGTCGGATCAGATGGATGTACTTCACCAGAAACCGCAGGATTGAGTTACGGTACATTTTTTATCTTCTTTTGAAGGAGATTTGTCTCTCTGCCGAGGCAAGAATTTCACTCATATTCACCCAGCTTAGTAATTAAGTTGTATCTGTGAAATTCTTTGGTAATAATAAACGCATAAACAGTGTAAGGTGTCAGTACCAAATGAGACACCTGACTGAGCTGCTTCTGTGCAGTGATTGTTGTGCTTCTGTTCCAACCACCAGTGCATTCAGAGCTATTTGGACTTTTCTAAGCAAACCTAAGACTCAAATAGACATTTAATAGCTTTTGAAAGACTATTTGATTTATGTATGCTTAGGAAACCAAAACTGAAACCTGAAATTAATACTATTTATGGGGAAGATTTTCTCTGTCAATTCTGCAGGTTTTGAAAATAAGAATGGGATCTTATGTGGTATTAAAACAAACAAGCAATAAATGCCAGTTTTGTGTATATAGATCAGGAATCTCATACCATCTATGGGACAATTGGAACCTCCAAAACAGTATCTTTCATGTTCCCATCAATCTCAATCTTAATATTTCTGGAGGGTTGAACTATTGCAGTTATTACAATACAGGTAGCCAGTGACTCTTTCTGTAGCTATACTCTCCATCTGGAACTGGTTTGTAGCTCAAAACATCACATATCATAATGCCATAATGGTTGTCATGTGTAATCAAAGCTAAACAATTGCCTTATCTTAAAGCCTCGGACATTCCTATATTATGCAAAATTACTAATCACATTCTTTAAGTTGTAAAATAGCATTTCTATTTAAACATATCTGAGCCACTGAAAATTTTAAGATATTTAAAGTGCATCCTATAGCTGATAAACAAGTGCAATGTTTTGCAGTGTTCATTAACTGCCATCAGCAAGGTGTGTCTCCTGGAGCATGGCTCAGGAAAGCTGGCCTGACTCTCCTGACATATTGGGTTCCTTTTGCAGGGGAGTGGGGATTAAACCCATCTGAACTGTTGTTACTGAAGGAACTTGGGCGTGGGCAGTTTGGAGTTGTTTATCTTGGTAAATGGAAAGAGACTATCAAGGTTGCCATCAAAACAATCAATGAAGGTGCAATGTCTGAAGATGATTTCATAGAGGAGGCCAAACTGATGATGTAAGTACAAAAGCTATTATATCAGTTTACCAAGAGATAAATATAGCCTAATTCCATTTCAAACAAACAAAGCAGTTTGATGGGAATGCTGGATGTGTGGGACAGAAAGGCTGGCATAAAGGTCTGAACCAAGCTGATGCAGATGCTTCCTATGCCCAGACTTTCTTTAGAGTGTGCCTTGCTTTTTACTGTGGAGCTCAGTGGGGAACAAAAGTTCTGCTAAAATGTAAATGTGCTCCTACAACTATTCTTTAATCCATAACTCAGTATCTCTAGGAACATTGGCAGAGCTTCTATCCAACTAAAGCTTTTGAGAAACCGTATTGCCATACATGCAAATTTTGCAAATTAGGAAAGTATTCACATGAGGTCTTGGCAAAGCCCAGAAGAGATGAACCCTTGCAGGGTCAAGGCCCCTGCCTGAAAGCCAAGTGTAACTAGACCTTTCCATTTTGCATCAACCAAATCAAACTTTGCATTCACTGTGTTTATATAACTGATGAACAATTATGAGTTCACAGAGTGATCTTTTTTGGAGGAAGTTGTAGATAGAAATGTAAGTATTGGGAGAACTCTGAAGACAGCTGAATAGGACACTGTTTATTAAGTAGTGAAAATATTTTTCAAAACCATCATGAGACTCAAAGGTTTAGTTACCTGCCATGAACAAATATTAGACTGTCTAAAATGTGATTTTAAACAGGAAACTTTCCCACCCAAAGCTGGTCCAGCTTTATGGAGTGTGCACACATCACAAACCTCTCTATGTTGTGACTGAATTCATGGAAAATGGTTGCCTGCTCAATTACCTTCGGCAAAGGCGGGGAAAACTCAGCAGAGATGTTCTCTTGAGCATGTGCCAGGATGTTTGTGAAGGGATGGAATATCTGGAAAGAAATGGCTTTATTCACCGTGATTTGGTAAGTACAACAGGTTTTCTGAAGTTCTCATCAAATATTTGCAGTAAAGAATGTGCTGTTGCATTTAATGGGACATTAATCCTATTGCGTTTAATCCTGTAAGACTTCAGCACTTAGGATCTAATAAGGCAAGCCCAAACTTTTCAGCTGTTGTTTTGCCCATGGACAGCTCAAAAAACTACTTGAGAGAAGTTTTTCCATTGGAAAAACCCCTTGAGAGGTCAGAGAAAATTAGGATATTACATGGAACTATCTATTATTAGGACATTTCAATACAAAAGTGATTAGAACACAACAAAAATCACAGCATTACAAAAGGTCAGCAACAATGAGAATTTAAAAAAATTGAAATATTTTTCTATCTATATTTTTTTGCTCCCTACAGCCATTCATTAATGCTGGGATATATGAATGGCTTTTCTGCCCATAGGCAGGGAATTAAAGGAAAGGAGTTTATTTTTTTACTCCTTGATACTTTTTCAATGCTTACATTTGGATGTAGAAAGGAAATCCTCCTCTCCTACCTATCTGCATAAAGAAATAAAATCTTTTAAATTATCAGGAGGTTCCTGATTTATGTAATGAAAACATCACAAAACAAATTTAAAAAATTACACTCATTGTCCCTAGTGTTGATGTTCAGGAAAATATCTGGTTGGATCATTAGACTGCAGCCTAAAAGTCTTTCACCATTCAAGAATATGTAAGTATTGCAATTGTATGTAATATTGCAAGTCATACTACAAACATTTAAGTTGCTATGTGCTATGTATGTGTAACTACACAGTAGTGAAATATGTTCACTGACTCAGAGTCAAAAATTCACTAATACAAAAATTAACTAATATTTTTGACCAATACACTTATCTCCTTTCAGATCTAAACAGCATGAGCTGAAGCAAATATAATCAGCTGCTGTATTTCTCTTAAAATTCTTTAGCACAGATTTCAGATGTGTTTCTCCCATTTTCCCCAGGCTGCAAGAAACTGTTTGGTCGATGTGGAACATGTTGTTAAAGTATCTGACTTTGGCATGGCAAGGTACGAGGCCATTGAGAAAAGTTTTGTGAGAACCTATTCTCAGACAACTGCAGTATGATCTTTAGTTAACCTCACTGCTTGCTTCACTGGTTTGAGGAATCCCACTGTGGGTAATTATTGAATCCTGATGAAAATTGTAATGATGTTTAACCACTGTACCATGAACTGGATATTGCGTCCTCCTCTTGCTCTTGGTGAGTGCAAGATAGGTAAACAAAGTGCCAGGTAAATGTCAGAGGTGTTTATGGACAGAGAAATGCCCAGAGTGCACAGGGTAGCCAGAAGCTTGAAGAAAAAAGTTCCCCAGCTTTCCTGAGCAGTATGGAGGTCAGAAAGTCACTAGGGACAGAGGTGGGAGCTGGTGCTGACCTCTGGAGGCAGCGGTAGCTGAGTGGGTGAGGCAGGATGCTGGGAGGACCATGTGGGTGGGAAGTGTGATACGTGCTGCTCTAGCAGGGATGTGGTTTTCCTGCTTAGTGATAGAAGCAGCCAAAGTGAGGAAAGAGAGCACTCTCAACTCTGAAAGGCAGCAGCCTGAGAAACATAGCTCTAGCCTCACAGACTTTCCTCAGAGGACACAGATGAGCTGGCCAAATGACTGAATGCTAACCAAATGGGCTTTCTTCTTTCTTCTTTCCTCTTGCAAGCCCAGAACAAAGCTCTCCACTTCTGTGTTTTACTGGCTGTTTTTACCATGGGTTAGCAGACTGAATCAGCTCGCTTAGGAAGCAGATGAGCTTGTAAGACCATCAGTGGCTCTGAGCAGAAGGTTGTGGTGACACTTACCTTGTGGCTACAAGTTGTTAGGTCAGCACGGCCATGCTCCTTCGGCTTTGCCTCCTATTTCTAACCTCAGGCTTACAACACCCTAGCAGTTTGTAGCTAAGGACTTGTTCTTCAAAGGGCTATCCTGTACCATGGTTATACTGCTCCCCAAAAGGATAAGGTCAGTATCAGGGCTCTAGACTTATTCAGATGAATCAGAAAATACAGTAAGACCAAGGTGGCTGTCAGGGTCCACCCTAAGAATAATGGACCTGAGTGGCTCACTGTGGCCACAAAGTGGAGATCAGTGGTGTGGCTCTAGGATTCACTTTCCTGGGGAGGCTGTGGAGAAATGATGGGAACACAACCTAATTATTCAGAATTCACACAACAGCTACTGTAGATTATTTTGTACTGCTATTTCATATGTTCCTTATTCAACAGCCTCCCATGTTTTCATCCCTGCACCAAAATGAGAAAGTGAGGCAAAAAGATTATTTATTTCAATATGACCTCTGTCAAAAGGTGCTTTAAAAAAATTACCTTTATGCTTTCCCCGAGAATAAATGTGTACTGCACATCTGTTATCTGCTCAGGAACATTAATACTTGGACAATGAGCCCAGAGTTTGTAAATATGTTGGGGTCAGCCTAGTAATCATTTAAAGTGTTGCCCTATGAATGCCTGCATTAGGCACATAATTTCATTTTATCTGGGAGGTCAGCTCCTATAATCTTGGGGAAGAACAATTACTTTAGTGCACCTACAAGAACTGTTGTCTCAAACGTGATGAACATTTTTTTATATGTTGCATTGGTAATAATGTCCCTGATATGGCATCTGCAAAGATGGACAGCAAGACTCTTATTTGGGTAGAACAAGCAGTTGAAAATATGGATCCTTTTAAAAAAAGACTAATTACTTATTGCTGCGGATTTTCCTGTCCATGATGAAGTGTTGTGTTGCATTAATATACACCCAAAATATGACAATAATAACCATCCTGTCAGTCTTATGCTCATATAAAAATGTTTTATTCTGACATATTTCTGATGAATAATCCAAATCATTAATTTAAACAGAAATTACTTTAAGCGCATAGCTTCCCGTGCGTGTTTTTTTATGTACATTTTACACTAAAATAGTGATATAATTTTGTTTTTTCCAAATTGACACTATTTTTCTGGAATTCTAACCCTTTTGTGGAAATGTCACTCATTCAAATATATGTGGTTTCCTCTTATTCTTCAGGTATGTGATTGATGATGAATATATCAGCTCTTCAGGTGCCAAGTTTCCAGTCAAATGGTCATCTCCTGAAGTCTTTCATTTCAAAAAATATAGCAGCAAATCAGATGTCTGGTCATTTGGTGAGTTGATTAGGTGAAAGGGCAACCATGCTTCCCTAAAACTACTGATGTGATTTAGGAAAGTGTAAACTTTTACCCATGCTACCCATCTTAAACTTCAGTCCTTTCCATTTTTCAGTTTGCTTATATTGGACAAATGGATTTTTCATTCAGAAGGTTTTGAAAGTAGAGGTCAAAAAGTAGATTTTGACTGAAATGTGCATTTCTGATGAGTCCTCACCAGCCAAACATATTCATCTGAGTTTCATGGACCATCACCTTATCAGACTTAAAAGAGAGCAGAATTATATTAGTTGAAATTTTTTGGGTTGTATCCTTCATTCAGCTCAGGCTGCCTGTATTTTCATTCATTTTTCAACACACAGAAGAATCAGGAGTGGTTTTATTCTCCTAATTTTGTTAAAAGCTTGTGTGTTTGGCATCTTTTGTTTTGTCCTAAACCTATTCTTGGTTCACTTCTAGGTGTACTGATGTGGGAAGTTTTCACGGGAGGCAAAATGCCTTTTGAAACCAAGTCAAATGCTGAAGTTGTCCGTGAGATTTCTCAGGGTAACCGACTTTATCGACCACATTTGGCATCACTTCCTGTGTACAAAGTCATGTACAGCTGCTGGCATGAGGTTTGTTCCCCATTTTTTTTCCCCCTGAGGTATTAACTTTATTCTTAATTTTTAACATGGATATAAAAGCAATCTTAAAAGCTCAAGATATGAAATCCTTTTTTCACATCTGTGGCATTCTCAGCATCTCCAACAATGTTTTTCACAAATCACACCAAAGTTTACAAGCCTCTGCTTCTTTTGACTGTTGCAGCCAAGAAATATAGAGCACACTATCGGTACAACAGATCTAGACCATCCCTGGGTTGGAATATGCCACTGTTGTCATGTTTCTCTGCTGGGTCCAATGTGATACCTTTTTTGTGCCTTTGTATCATGCATGGTTCTCTGTAGATCTGCTCTGAATGGTAACACATGCATATACCAAGTGGATATTCCCACTAAATGTAGATTTTGAAACTCCTATTTCAAGTGTGTATCAGTATCTCTGTTCATCAGTACAGCCCCTAGGCTGCACCTCTTTCACCCTCTCCAAGCTGATTTAGTATTTCATGTTCTTTCGCCATATGTCCAGCACCTACTATTTCCTTTATTGGTAACAAAACACTGATTTCATCAACTTCTCCATCTGATTAATCCCTTAAGGGCCCTCTTTCTCTAGTCTCTAGAAGAAACAAATCTTTATTTTAGGTTAAAAGTCCTTTCAGAAGAGCTTTGTGTGCAATTTTTTCATGTAAATGTGCAGGCATACACATTGAGTAGCTGAACAGTCTTGTCGCTGCCACTGTCTCCTACTCTGAATAAAATTTTAAAATCCTGAGTTAAAAAAAAAAATGCTTAAGAGATGGAAATCTAAATTACATCCAGCTTGCCTGCTTACTGCAAATGTCCATGAAGGTGCCAGCCAGCAGAGAGATCATAGGGAAGAAGTTTTCTTTCCTGTCTGCCACCAGAGAGGAGTTTGTTCCATACTGAGCAGCAGCACTTCAAATTATACAGCAGTGAAGATCCTTTTCCAAAAGCACAGGAAGCATTCCTGAGTACCATGTTTTCCTGACAGGCAGGGGTACTGCAGGAAGAAATCCATAAGAATTCTGTTCCAGCATTGAACTAAGTATATAGAAATTTCAGGAATTTTTTTACAAGTGTCTGTGCTCATGCTGCTGGTGTCATGAGTAACAGGAATTTTTTTTCTCTAAAATGACATGCTTGATCTTTTCTTATGTTTTAATAAAATGAAATATAATTTTAAAGTGGTATCTCATATGTACTTATATCTAATTTCTGAAATCTGGTACTGTAATTAACCAACCTGCTAACACAAGTTTATCCTCTGCTTTTCTTTCCAGAAACCTGAAGGACGTCCTACTTTTGCAGAGTTAACAGTGACCCTCACAGATCTAACAGAGATGACATAATCACAGATTTTATACCAATATATTTTCTGAAAGGTTAACATTAAACACGCCACTAATGTAGCTAGTACAGAAAACCTCAACCTTTTAGAGAGGTCTCTACCTAAATCACAGTATCAGTATCCTACATATTGAAGCAGCTGCTTGGTCTTGGCACAGTTTTTCTTATTTGAGAAAGATACTCCAGGACGCTGATTTGAGCCTCTCAAGGCTTTGTTTTCATGGTAGGGAGAAAAGTCTGTCTGAAAAGCAGTAACCAATCCTATTCACCTTATAGATCTTTTTATTCATTATTTTGTTCAGAGCTACACTAATTCTTGTATCAATGTTATTACATTATTTATACTTGCTATGACTCATGCACCAGGGAATGCTGATTGGCAGCAGCAAGGATGATGAAAAAACCTCTGATAAGCTCTGGTTAGGTCACTTTTAAAGGCAGGTCCTTGTGTACTGCAAAGTATTCAGCCCTGGGGAAGCAGAGCAGGGCTCTGTCCAAGGGACAGCAAGCTAAGTGACTGGCTGCTGGAGCAGTGCCCACACGTGTGCCTGGACCCACTACTTGGACAAAGCAGTGCCTTATCCCTCCCCTTGCAAATGCCCAGAATGGTTAATGGGCAAGTTAAAACTGGAACCTGACAGTAAATCTCAGATGGATCCTATGATACCTTACATGGACACGTCTGTGACCCTACTTCTTATGTTATTATTCACTTTTAATTTTAAATCTTAACTATGGTCAACACAAATATGTTGTAGGGAAGGAAAGGTAGATGGAATTTATAATTATTTAAAGCAAAATAGTCATATCATTCCAAATAAATATGTTCTTGGCAATATGTGATTGTATTGTGAATTGTTTATAGGTAAATACATCACAATATTTAGTTTTATAGGGCTTTGTAGATAAAATTTGTAAAATGTGCTAGATAAAGAACTAATTACTTCAATTTAATTTCGGTCACAAATTGAGTCACAGTTTAATTTTTTATTTCCAAATTTTAAAAATAATTGTAACATTAAAATTAAATATAGAAACCCCCACAAAAATATGAATTTCCAAAGGATGATGGCATTTTATAATCAAATATAGTCCTGGCAGTAATCAGTCATCCTTACTGCAATAGCATATTGATAGTCATCAACCCTTGGGAAAGGAAGTTGTTAGTCCCACTGTTTGAACTTTTGGGAAGACCTTCAAACACACTTCTAAGGCATTTCTGCATTAAGTAAACCATGATATTCTCATTATTCCATATAACTTCCCAGAATAATTGCCAGTAACTGATGCCACTGTTTACTTTCATAATCAATTTATTTATGAGCATTCAACCCTATATCAGACCTATGACTGAATGCAGACCTATAACTGTTGTGGCTTAGCCCCAGCTGGCAACAGAACCACGCAGCTGCTTGCTCATGGCCTCTGCCCTGGTGGGATAGAGAAGCAGAAGGTAAAACTTGTGGGTTGAGATAAGAACAGGTTATTAACTGAAACAAAGTAAGATGTAACAATAGCAATAGTGATTAAAAGGAGAAAGAGAGAGGAATAGAACCCTAGGGAAACAAGTGATGCACAGTACCAGTGCTCACCCCCTGCTGACTGGTGCCCAGCCCATCCACAGGGAGTGACCAGCAGCTCCCAGTTTATACATTGGTCATGTCATTCTATGGTATGAAATATCCCCTTGGCCACATCAGGTCAGCTGTCCTGGCTCTGCTCCCTCAGCCAAAATTGAGATAACAGCACAGTACACACATGGAGCTCACCACAGTTTATGCCCAGGCCACAGAAGTGCAAAGCTTTTCAGGAGATGATGGGCTATAAATGTGAAATTCAAATTCTCTCCACAATATAAAGTACATGGGGACTTTGAATAATATATGAAACATCTTTTTAAGCAGCTCTTGTAAAACTGGTTTGCCATATTACTGCAAGTTGATGTGTAATACTTTACAGCACCATGCAGTAAAAACCAGCTCCATTAGGTTTATGTACTCAAAGCACCTTGCTCCTGCCTGTCTCACTGAGCTGTCCCATGGTGATTGTGCACCCATCCTGGAAACATGCTGGTCTAATAACTGGAGCCAATAAGGCTTGCCTACCTGGCTTCCACTTCCCAATCTAATATTTTTGTAGGTTGCTTGGGGAAAAAATTGAAGATGTTATTAATATTCTGACACAGAATAAATTTAACAGCTGCTATCATCAAGCTGACAGTAAATAAATGAAAAACACAAGAACTTGCTTGAGACTCAGTGAAACTGGTGCTTAATTGGCAGCAAGAAATGGTCTGCAGTACAAAGTTCAGGTATTTACAGTGTATTTATTCACCAGAACACCTACACCCTTACATAAAGATTGAGTAGGCCACCTTAGACCTCATGGTGACTGTGAGCTTAGTTCAAATTCAAACCATATTCTAACAGGCAAAAAATGGATGAATAGTGAGTGACATCCTTGTCACTGACCATAAAGAGATATCTGCTGGTTTTTTTTAACTTCCTTGTGATGATAATGAGATCTGGAAAGAGCAGTAAAGAACACCCCTCCAGACAGGGAAGCTTCCATCAAAGGCTGTCAGAGTGTTCAGAATTTGTAAAAATTTAGCTACTGTGTGCTGATCAAAAATCAGAAAACTTGGAACAATTCTGTATTATATCTGGGAGGAAAAAACAGCAGAACTCCCAGCTTTTGTGAGCCAGCCACTTAGGATACATCTTTTTTCTATAAAAAGATGCATTATTAACAAAATTGAATTTATTTTCAGAAAGTGAAATTAATTCACTTGTCAAGAGTACTCCTGAGAAGCAATGCAGACCAATTACTAGTGTGTACAGGGCCGGTGACACTTGTTTTCAGAGCTATTTGGTTTTCAGACCAGTTTCTGCCTCCTCCCCCTCTCCCCCAGCAGACTTCACAGATGGGAGGCCCTACAGGCACCAAAGCTCATCACCATCCCTCCTTCCTCATGCACCACCACTCTGGCTCCTGCTCAGCCTCCCAGCCGTGTTCTGAACCATGGCACACTTCTAAAACCTGCCCAAAAGGAGTCAGCTACTGCAAACATGCCCTGCTGGAAGGATATTTTCTAGCACACTTGCCAGTTTTATTTTGCTGGAATTTAAAGAATGAGAGAGCAGCATTTTCTAGAAGCATGCAATTCCCCATATAGCTCCAGGATGCAACCCTGATGAGTAGAGTTTGAAGTTTTGAATACGTACCCCTTGGGATGAAGATTTCTTTTATAGCATGGTTCTTTCAAGTGTGGCTGGAAAATGAAGATGGTAGAGCAGATTTCTATAGAAACTGGTAACTGATGTATTTCCTTCCAAAATCATACAGATTTTTTAACCTATCCAAGTCTTCTTGACCTACCTAAATTTAGTTGGTGCAGCTATTTAAGGAACTTAATTGCCCATTAATTTGTCCTGAGATATGGTAATAATGAGTAGCTGCCAAGATTTGTTTAGTATCAGCATTTAAAAGCTGTAATTTGGTTAGCAATATATTGAGGATTGCTTTGTTCTCCTTCTTAACTATTTGTCCTACATACCAAAACACATCTAATTACTTTATATAGTGTTCTTTATTTCACTGCCTGGAAAACCTGACAACTCACTGAAACACCCTCCACTGAGACTGGCTGTGACACAGACATGCCTAATACATTAGCTTTGGGTTTTCTTCTCTAGTTTAGAAATATGAATTATACTCTTTTTTTAGCCCTTGTTTAAAAAACACAGATAATTTAGTACATAACCATGAATAATTTATTACAAGAGAAATATTAGCATAATTTCAATTTAAAAAAAATCAAAGTTATTCCAAACTAGTAACTAAATATAAACATTTAAAAATAGCATCTCTTACAAAAAATGTTTTTATAAAAAAAAATTAATCACTAATTAATTTCTACAATGATGGATTTCTTACACCATGAAAATAACCATTAACTTTGTTTTTTTGACATTGTTAGAAAAAACAAAATTTTATCATTAGTTGCTATTTTTAGTATTATTATTCTTTATGTATAAATAACATATAACATGTATATATTATTTATGTATAATTTCATATATTTATATGTAAATATACAAAATATTATATCTATATACACACACACACATATATATATAAAATTTATGTATAAATTACTATTGTTTACGTATAATATCAGATACACAGGTTCAGTAGAAAATATAGGAATTTTGCTTGGTGTAAGTTAATTATTCCCAGCAGTTGGTATAGAAGGAGTCCACATCTTTCTCAAAGAAAGTATTATGACATATCTTTAAAAAGTGCCAACACACATCCATTCAAGAACTGGACTTGTTGCTATTGCTTACAAATAACTCATTTGGTCACACCACAGTGATGACTCTATAAGCAAAGAAAGGGGCCATGAACTATGCAAAAGCATTTCTTTTTCTCTTTTTTGCAGTCAATATTTTCTTCAGTTAGTCTTTGAATTGTGTAATTCAGAGTGAAAAGCAATTCAAGTTTTTGTTAAAGAACAAACTTGTTTCTCACTAAAAATATTTTGAAGCTTGAATCTGGTCAATAAGACCAAAGTACTCTCTACATTAACTAAGAAGTAATGAAATACTGTTAGTAGATTTTCTTGTCTGAAGCTTTTTTAACACAAGCATTTTAACAGCAAAAAATTGCTACAAATTTCATCACTCAAGATTAAAATTATTCCAAATTGATAATGTATACATTGTCATTATATTTTGAAAGCGAATACATTTTTGGTGAAAATGTCCCTCTTGCTGGATAACGGTGATGCCACACAAATATATGAAATATAAGCAGCAATCCTTTTGCAAAGGCAGAACAATTTGTTCTTTGGCAGAACAATTTTCTATCCATCCAAACCATCCTCTTTTACGAAACCTTTTGAACATTAGAAAACATATAGCCTGCTTCATGAGGAAGTTCTGTTTGGCATATAAATTTCAGCTGATTAAAACCAGTTTATAACTGCGGAAGTGCTGGC